TTACGCAATAAAATGGGATGTTTTAATTAGTCAATTCGGATGATGCGACGTATGACGCGCTCAGTGAGAACGCATCCTTAATGTTTAAAATGCTTATTGATGTAGAGTAAATTGATTGATGAAATATTTTTTGTGTTATTTAAATATTTTTGTTTTCTGTGAAAATTCCAAAAAGAAATAATCTTATGTGGTATACAACGTTTATATTATATACGATAACTGTGGTTTTTATTTACAAAAGTAATAGGAATAAGTACCAAAAGATTTTTCTGCTATAATGAAATAAAATATAAAATACAATTAAGAATTTTATATAATAACTTATTTTTACAAGCTAAAAATTGAATTAGACAAAAGTGTAAATATTAATATAAATTTTGAAAATATTTAAAAAATATACAATTACAAAATATAAACAAAATATAAACAAAATAAATTACAAAGTATACAATTACAAAATATAAATTACAAAATTAATTGTAGTGATTGATACGTTGATACAGTGATACAGTGATGTTACTAGTGCACGATGTTATCAATACATAATATCACGGTTTACTAATTCTAACATTCGCATAGCGACAGCATTTTATATTACCGCTTATTGCGTACTAACTCTACTGACAATGAAACATAAATATTTCCGTGATATTATATGCGATTATATGCAGACTGTTCCCGAAATAAGTTATCTACACCGATTTGACTTGATCCTACGACATAAAAAAATTTATGAACATTATTGTGAACAAAGTTTTCTTATAGTTTCTTTTTTCGAAAAAATAACGCTTCTATATCTCTCGGAAAGAAACTTATATTTGTAATTCTTATTTGTCACAAAAAATTGAGTTTATTACACAGAATTAATACTTATTAAATAAGAAAAAAATAGAATAGGTAGGTTGTTTTACATACCTGTCTGCTTTCGCTATCTATAATTGTTTTATACTGGGACGTTAAATTACTTTTCAGCTTGTTTTGATGAAAACCCACTAGTTAACTGCAGTCAGTTCTAGTATAATCATTGCAGATTCAATATACCAGCTTTTATTTCTAGAGGTTTTTAAAGCAAAAACAGATTTGTGGGAGGGAGAGTTGCTAAGGGGAATTGGCTATGAGGAGAACGCCTATACGTTTTACGATCTATCGTTCACTCCCTTCACTCGTAACCTTTGCACTCCACCTCTCTCTCACTTACACGCCACTCACACACACTTCACCCTCTCAGCTACAAATTTGATCATTCAACTCTAACCGACGAAACGGAAGTCTCCTATATTTTTAAAATCAAACCTCTTTCCAGTGAGAAACAATACGTCGACCCAACGTCGAATTGAAAACCATTTCTCACCAATTTAATTACTAAAATAAAATTTGTTTTAGATATAATAAATTTTATTAATTAGCATCATATACTAGAGAATGAAAAAGAATATACATAACAAGATTGTGATTAAGAAATATGTATTTAGAAACTTATTTACGATATTTCTAAAGCGGTCACCCATCCAAGCCAT